TTTTCGATTTATAATCTCATTATAAAGGATCATGATCTTATGGTATTTTGAACTAGAAAATATGTGTTAATAATACGTGTATATATGAATAGTTAGAATTTCGAATATTTTATTAATCTATATGAATACATTACATATATCAAAAATACTTATTTATTAGATAATTGGTCGCGTGGGATATATAAATGAACCAAATAAAATAAACGATTGATTCGAAATCGAACCATTGTTGATTCGAAATTCTCGAATTATTCGATTTCAAATCTTGCAGATTCGAAAACGAACTCGTATCGAATCTACTGTGAATTCTATTCGATTCGATTCGAATTTGAATTATTCGCACATCTCTACCAAAAAAATATTGCGTCTTAAAATGCTCAAAAAATTTTTACAATACTTTGCGTTGTACTTAACGGAAATCTAGGAATCATGAAATATTTGGTGCATTTAAGTAATATTTGAACTTGAAGTTTTTGTGAACACTTTTAGAAAGATAATCATATATAATTTTATATGGGACCAAAATTGCAAATTAATTTATAATATAAAGTGTAACTAAAAGGTACGACCAAATTTTGGGGACACATTCCTTCCAGAGGATGGAAACATGTTATATGATCAAAACGCTTCATTTCTTTGTTAAAACTCTTTTTTATAATCAACAATTTAAGTTTACAGATGCACAAATTAATCTGTTTTTGTTTGGAATGTTGAAAAATACATACACGTTAAGCCGAGTAAGGTCATTCTGATTTATGTATACTGTCAGTACTAAAAATCTATAATTCACGTGTTATGAATATTCCAAATTTTTGATATAAATCAGTGTATATCGAAACTGATATACACTGAAAAATAATCAATCCTGTAGATATTGATGCCCAATAATATTTAATTTTTAAATTTCAACTACAGCTTACTAACAAGGGAACACACGGAAGTGTCCTCCGCCTTCGATTTCAATGAGCTTTGGAGATGTTAAATTACAGACAAAAATAAGATACTACAATTTTTTTATACGTGGTGAATCGCACGTTAAGGGGATGAAACATCTTTTAGAAAAAAATCGATTTTTTTATTTCAATGCGAATATCATCGAAACTACGAGAGATAGAAAAAAATATTTGAACCAGAGTTGAATGGCTTTAAAAGTACTTTATATTATAATTTAAAATAATTTTTTTATTGTTTATTTTTTTTGTTTACCCCCACCACTCAAAAATTTTTTAAATTTTTTAAATTTTTTAAATCAAATTAGAGGATATTTTAAGACGAATTTAACTATGTGTGATAAAGTTATTTTCCGAAATATCATTTTCGAGAAATAATTATAAACGCCTTTCTACGCAGTACGCACACCATCCGTACTCGTTTATGCGCTAATTCACCTACGTGAACTTGGCACCTGACTTTTACTAAAATAAGTTTACAATAAAAAAAAGGTTAGTATTTTGTTTGTAGTTGTTTGAAATAGTATAATTTCGTTTGTAATTCAATAAATTTATAAAAACAAGTTTTGAAAAATGACTATAACCCGACTTTGAGTTACAGAAAAAAACAATATATCTTGATTAAGGATTGTTTGTATTTATTTGAAGTGTTTTTCTCATCGTTTGTAGTTAAGCCATTCAAAAGTTACAATATATTTGCAATAAATAAAAAACGTAATTTTCAATTTTTAAGATGTCTCAAATTCGCTTGCGGCACAATTTTTATAATCATTTGTATTTGTTTGTAGTAACTTTTCCGTCGTTTTAGTTGAACCGTTTAAAAGTTACAATATATTAGCAATAAATAAGAAACGTAATTTTGTCAGCAAAACATTCGTCCCAGCGTATTTTTAATTGTCAAATTTCTTATAATAATATCTTTGCAAGGGATGATAATAATAATTAATCCTAATAAATCAAATAATTTTGCAACCTCTGATAATATATATTACGCGCCATGTACGGATATCTTTCATTTCGCAATTAAATGCATGGACAATTATGCATTTTCCATGCGGAAATTAAAGGTATCCGCACGTATCCGAATTCCAAAGATCTCTGAGAATGCGCAATATCGACGCTTTGTCAATTTGAATCTCGGTATTATACACATATGTACATACTTGGAGTATTGCTTATTATTATTACTTTTTAGTAGCCTTTTCGTTAGAAAATCGTTTGCTTAACTGAAACTTTATTGTAAAGGTGTGCGAATCAAACCTTTACATGGTCGAATCGAATCGAATCGAATTTTTATAACATGTTCGAAATCGAATCGAATTGAATCTGAAATTTTCACTTCGAATCAAATCGAATCAAATCTCTTTAATTCGAATACGAATCAAATCTAAATCAAATTTCCCAGATTAACATTATATTAGGCGATTGATTCGAAATCGAACCATTGTTGATTCGAAATTCTCGAACTATTCGATTTCGAATC